TAGAAAATTAATTTCGAATGTAAATAAAAATCAGATAACCTTTACCATTTATTATCATTTTATAGACTGAGTTAAGAGTATTCTGCTCCTCTATAAGTCCTAAACATATAATTTGTATAATTAGAAATTTCTTCGGATATCATTTGAATTTTTCAAATATGTTGAAAATATTAAAATCGTAAAATTTTAGGTGGACAATTGGAAATTTATTTCTTTACTTTGCTTCGAAATTCTTATGAAATTCCTAATTCGCAAAATCTAAATGCATTAAGCATCATTACGTATAACAATTGCGATGGTACACATAATTAAAAAATGTTAAAGTATCGGGATGCTAGTGTAAAACATGCTTTATGAATAAATTCACTAAAATGTAAACAATTTCCTATTAACTACAATATAGGAGCTAAATTACCGGACCAGGTACATTTATGAATAATACAAATTTTCAAGTATGTAATAGGAGAATGTGCTCAAAGCCAATGTTACATAATACACAGTACACAATGCCATCTGACGCGACGCCACCAACGTACATATGCATTTACCTACACCATGTAACATTGACTTTGATCACATCGCATCTTTCCCCCACTACTTCCTAACCTGTACTCCGGTCCCAGTCCCCATTTTTATGCCGCATTCTGGCACCACTTCTATCGGCTCTTCTATTAATCCTAAATGTACAATTACAAATTATTTCGAATATTAAAAATTATATAATTCCACTTAAAACCTAGATCCTCATACGTGTATCAAAGCAATAGTATAAAATTCTCCGATAAAAAATTTGCTCTCAAATTTTTTTATTAATAAAGATATAACTACATTATTATGTTATTTAAACTTGAACCGGCGTAAGGTAAAAATAAAATCACTATAATTGCAATCTTAAACAAATCATTTCATTATTATTTTATAAATCATTTTATTATTATGTTACAAATCATTTTATTATTATGTTACAAATCATTTGATTATTATATTACAAATCATTTTATTATTATGTTACAAATTATAAAGTTTTTCATCGTAGGCTTCAATATTTATTTAATCATAGTGAAAATAAATAACGAAGTCAGATGCGAAAACAATTATACTAATGTCAGTTCGATTGTGTTTTGATAGATAAATACATTTTATTCTTTATTGTCTGTTTGGTAGGATTAATTTTCTTCAGTATTTGGGTCATTACGTTCACTAATTGTTCAGATGTAAGACCAGTCTTTTTCGATTTAAACTTTTGCAAAAGTTCTGTAGTTGTCATTGGTTTACGCATAAGATACCGTCTCACTGCATCTTCCGTAATTCCAGATTCACTGAAACAAAAGAAATTAAATTTATATCTATGTTCAAATACTGTGCAGTATACAAAAAAATAAACAATAATCCAATTTACAGAAATTCATCATATTAATATATTTAATATTCATCATATTATAGCCGTTTATTTTGAAAGTGGCATAAGTCACTTTTTTTTTTTTTAAATGAAAAGATACCGTTCAATTGTAATTAGTGTTACCATTAACTCGATTTTTTTTAAAANCAAATTTTTTTATTAATAAAGATATAACTACATTATTATGTTATTTAAACTTGAACCGGCGTAAGGTAAAAATAAAATCACTATAATTGCAATCTTAAACAAATCATTTCATTATTATTTTATAAATCATTTTATTATTATGTTACAAATCATTTTATTATTATGTTACAAATCATTTGATTATTATATTACAAATCATTTTATTATTATGTTACAAATTATAAAGTTTTTCATCGTAGGCTTCAATATTTATTTAATCATAGTGAAAATAAATAACGAAGTCAGATGCGAAAACAATTATACTAATGTCAGTTCGATTGTGTTTTGATAGATAAATACATTTTATTCTTTATTGTCTGTTTGGTAGGATTAATTTTCTTCAGTATTTGGGTCATTACGTTCACTAATTGTTCAGATGTAAGACCAGTCTTTTTCGATTTAAACTTTTGCAAAAGTTCTGTAGTTGTCATTGGTTTACGCATAAGATACCGTCTCACTGCATCTTCCGTAATTCCAGATTCACTGAAACAAAAGAAATTAAATTTATATCTATGTTCAAATACTGTGCAGTATACAAAAAAATAAACAATAATCCAATTTACAGAAATTCATCATATTAATATATTTAATATTCATCATATTATAGCCGTTTATTTTGAAAGTGGCATAAGTTACTTTTTTTTTTTTTAAATGAAAAGATACCGTTCAATTGTAATTAGTGTTACCATTAACTCGATTTTTTTTAAAAAGTGATTTATGTCACTTTCAAAATAAACTCATATTCTTCCTGTATTAAATATCTCGTGAGCAAATATACAGGTCTATTAAAGTTGTATTCTTTAATAAGAGAAAAATAGCTAAATAGACTTATTGTTAATTACATTCGTATTTTGTCTTGCACTCTAATGTAATGATTTAAGAGGTTATTTTAAGTGGATCGATAAATTAAAAAATTAATCGCCACTATTAAAAGTACACAGAACACATACCTAGCTCCTGGTATATAAGAACTCACTGGTACCAAATTAAAATTGTCTAATTTCAATTTTTTCGATTGCGACAGATCTGGGGATCCAGATTGCTTCCTCTTCATGGAATCCGACATTCCTGCCACTACAGACGTGGGTGTTGCAGACCTAGAGCTGTGTGCACTATTTGATTTTTTATTATCTTTTTCTTTCACTGTATCCGATCCTGAATCTGAATCACTAGAAAAGTCACTAGACGAATCTTTTCCTGATGCCTTTTTCAGATCTTTTTTCTTGGAGAGTTTCTTTTTCTTTTTCTTATCTTTTTTCTTCTCAGAATCTTTACTACTCTTATCCTTATCCTAAAATGTTAAAAATAAATATTATTAATCATATTAATAATTACAGCATGAAAATTATTTTGTTTTTTTTTTTATTATTCTCTTCTTACCTTATCCTCTTTTTCTTTGTTTTCATCCTCTTCATCTTTATCTTCATCACCATCTTTTTTATCTGCCTGTTCTTCATCATCTTCTTCTTCATCAGATGCAAGTAATTTCCTTAATGCATCTTCTTCTGCAACAGACTTAATTTCTTTTTGCTGTTCCAATTCTGATCCAGAATCCGAGGAATCAGAAATATAATCACATTCTCTGCCTTCTTCATCACCATCATCGCTTTCTTCAAACGCCTCTGAATCCGATGCTTTCTGTTTTCGTTTCTTCTTCTGTGAGACAACTAATATATACAGATTTATATAAGTCTTAAGTAACTCAGTCAAAGAGAAAGATACGATGTTAATAATTTGTTTACGGCAATAAATAGTAGTACCAGTCATTATTCTTAAATTACAATTAAAACTACCTAAACACTACTATATACGATCTTTGTGTGGATATTCAACAAGTATACATTGAATACTCACCCTTGCCTTTCTTCTTCTTTCCATCATCCTCGTCATCAGATTTTTTCTTAGTTTCTTCATCATCACTAAGAGAGTCATCATCATCGCTGTCCATCCATTCATCCATCTCAGATATTTTCAAGTCTTTCTCCTTTTTACCTGGCTTCCTACCTTTTCCTCCCTCTATTATTTCATCATCATCCGCACCTTCTTCATCATTTCTAAGTCTTTTTCGTAACATTAGTGAAAAATAATTCATTACTTTATTTCTACGACTAAATTCTTGTTCTGCTTCTTCTGCACTTAATGCTTTATACCTCTGAATGGGTTGAAAATTATACCTAAATAAATAAATTTTTGATTTTGCATATTACATTATCGCGAAGAAATGTAATAATCAAGAAATAAAATTATCTTACCACTCATGCAATGGAAAAGCTTCTATGGCTCCATCAGCTGCATGTGTAAAAACATAATAAGCAGCATTTTCACTTACACCTCCCTCTCTTATCCCTTTAAACTTTTTTCCAGTTTTTCCACCAGACTTAAGTATCCATGGTTGATCTTCTGGTTTGTATTTCCTACTGGTGATACCAAACTTTTTTCTTCTGGCTTCTTCTCTTGCATCTCGCCCAAATTCAGATCCTGCGCCAAATTTTGGCATTTCTTCTTCTACTCCTTTATATTCTTTCATGTTATTTTCACGTTCCATCTTTACTTGTGACCATTTCGAAAAGTCAACATTCAATGTTGCATTAAACCTCATGACATTGTGCTTCTTTTTATTATTTCTGGAAAAACATTATGTTTTATTCAATGAATACAAAAAGATATCTTAATAAACACTATTACATACTTTGGCACCCGTATGCTATATTCTTGTATAGATTGAGCAACAGCAACCTGAAAAATAAGAAATGTAATGTCATTCATTTTGTGAATTTTTAATCTAAAATCCAATGGTAACTACATTTTATTCAATCATAAAAGATAAGCTAATATATCGAATAATAATATACTTTAAATATGATTCAACAGTGATTATAATTCATATATACGTATTACAAAAGTTAATGTAAATAATGACCTATTTAAAATATAATTGTATAAAAAAGAAACATAATTTTATAATTTCAAATACCTTTGGAGCTGCTGGCGTCGTCATATTAGATGACAACTTCTTTCTTGTCACACGCAATTAGTACTTTCAAGATCAACCTTCAATTCAAACTGTTTTTCTCAGTTCAATTTGACAAACATATACGTATGTCTATGGATAGATAACCGTCAACTGTATGACCGAAATAGATATTTCACCTCACTCGCAAGCTTACGATCCATACAACCATTGATGAATCCAATGCGCCTTGTCTCCAGATCTGAATTACTACAATGGCACCTCGCTGTAGTAAGCCAAGATGGGGGCAACTGGCAGGTAAAGAAACTGCTTCTTCTCTGATTGGTTGGTGCTTCACAGCTAAACAGTGCTGCCCTCACAGTTCTAGACAAAGTGAGAAAGTGGCGAGTGAGCACTGTGTGTATTACTGTACAAGGAGTTTCGAAAGCAACGAATAATTTCGCAATTTTATACAATTTTTACTGTTAAAAATTTGAAAAACAAAGCTGAAACTTTCATACTTTCTTAGAAAGACTAATGTAATAATTATCTATAGAAATGCTCAAACTCAGAGTTTTAGAGAATTAGAGTTAAGAATTATTGAGGATTGATACAATTTGCAAATATTTCTACAATTATTGAAATTTTCAGAAATATTATAATCTATGTTTCTTCACGTTTTCTCGGTGAGATCAAACAGTTTTACTGTTTAATTTATGGAGGTCGTAAGTCTCCGATTCAAATTTATATGACACCGAGTCTGCGTGATTCCGTATGACTCTTTCGAGTGATACGGATGATATGTTGATGTAGAATGGTTTTAACACTTACGTGACTAATTGTATTTGGTTTAAATGAATTGAGTTGACTGACTGATCGACGACGGATGAATAACTAAAGACTAATTGACGATGAACTGACAAGTGACAACTGATCTAGAGAAGAATCGGTTTCGAGATTTTATACAGTTTCGTGGAAAGAAAACTCGAAATTCGTTAGTCAGTGACGCGATGGAAGGGGATGTAGAGTGACGTACACGCAGTGTCGCAGGTAGCAAGAAACCCTGGACGGGCGACCGAAGCGGTGCGTGCTAACGACCCTGTCAAAAAATGCTGCCAATGAAGGTGTGCATTGTTCAAAAAAGCAGAATGGCTTTATTGCCGGAAAGAACATGGCTCAAAAATCATAAATTTAGAAATGGCAAGGAAAAAGACTATGGCTTTACGAAATTGAAAGTCCAACGAACGTGACCCTCTGTTGATTACACGTCATTCGTTGAAGGACTGTCAATTTGTCTCGCTGAGCCGAAGATTTCCCGTTAATAAATGTTTTTTAGGAATAAAAGAAAAGGTCATTCGTCCCGGAAAAAGTTAGTCGGATGCAGCACGAAAGTTTCGTTGAAGGACGGAACAATCTACGAGAAGTAATTTCATAAGCAACAGATAATTTCGCAATTATCGAAGCTATGAACAAAACTAGGAATATAATGAAATGTTTTTTGTGGGTAACACAGAAAATGGTATTTTATTATCCCGCTGGAATGAATTTGAGATCCTGAAAAGGGCCGTCATTATTAAATTCGATTTGGGATATTAATCACCAAAATGTGATTGTTAACAAGCGCGGGTTGACTTGTGGCTGGTGCACAATCACGCTCGTGTGTTGAAGATGACCATCAAGAGATGGCCGGCAAGAGCCGTTGTTTCTGTGCTTAGTTCACTGTATGTGTCATGACCTGGTCTATCCGCGAAGAGCACGTTTGCCTTCGGTGTCAGAATTGATTCTGCCTCTCAATCTCTTGGCCCACCTCCCACATCGACTCCAACCCCTACCCCTTTGGAGGCTCTCCGCAAGATCGGGATGTCCACTAGCCAATCCCAAATTTGTAAATAGTTCCGCCCATTTTGGTCGTTAAGACAGACCGGGCCTTGCAATGTTCCCACCCCGGTGGTCCGGCGTGGAGCGCGACCTGGGGTCCGTCCCGGGGGTCCGCAAGCGATTGAGGGATTTATGGTGCGTCGCTCGGCTCCTGGGGCCTTAAGGAGACGTTCGAGTGTCGAACCCAGACGCTCCATCTGGTTGTGATGCTAGATGTGAAAGCTTCCATGAATGCCGAGAAAGGCCCCCCCGTCATGGTACGAGAAGTCACGTACGCACCATAAATCGCCTTGAAATCCTAAACATGCCGCCCACCTTGAACATATGATGTTCAACCGATGGAGTGCAAAGACTATCCTGTCGTATTGTGCGATACAAATCACGGATAGTATATCTATTACATAAGCAATATACTAAATAGCTTAGTCTACCACGAGTACAAAGATGATAAGATTTATCTTAATTCTATAGGTGTCCGGTGTATCAAATCAACGCATCAAAATAGAGTGATAAATGAGGAACAATTAACACGGAGTTTCTCGTTCGACTGGCATGATAACACTTATTATACGCTGCACTATATGCTATAAACACTTGAATTATTTTAAGCTTATCATCTATTGAGTCTATGAACTTATGCAGTTGTCTGCGCTGCTGTCTGTGGTTGATCAAGGTCGTCGTCGACAGGCAGGATGCAAATTTTCGTAACTGGCCTCCTTAAGATGGTGTCAGACAGTTTGATGCTGACCACACGCGTATTTCCATCCTTCCCAGGGTGGAGCTCAATAATCCGTCCTGTGCGCCATCTTAATGGTGGCAAGTTGT